GACGATGACCTCAGAACATGGGCGAGATGCTACTTATGGACCGGAGACCCCAACAGGACCAACGGTATCAACAGGGTAGCCTGGAACCACATCATCAGGAAACCGCAGGAGGGGGGCCTGGGGCTTATTGATCTCAAACAGGAATCCATAGCACTGCAGATGAAATGGATTATCAAGATCCTAATAAGACAATTCATTCCATGGACCCAAATGGCTCTGGACAGCATCAGAAATCTAGCACCTATCAACAACTCCCCTCCGAACATGAGAGGTCTCTTCTAGATAATGGCAAAGGAATGGACAATCAAATCAGGCAGACAGAGCAGAAGAAATCCAACAGATCGTTTTACAAGCCCCCCTACTCCGATAGCAAATCCATACTGGAAGCCAACCCTCAAAGCCTGGCGAAGAATGATGCCGAGCAAACACGGTGCACCAGGAAACAGAGGAACAGGTCCTGAGACAACCTCTGTTCTGCAATTCCTGGATCGTAGACCTGAGTGGCTCACCCTGGACACTACGCACAGAAGACAGGAGATGGTTATCCTGGGTGGAAAAAGGGGTGTGGCAGATAAACACATTTGGGCAGAAGATCGAAGACAATGGTTATAACCGAACAGGAGCTCCGAAATGAATTAAAAGGCTGCCACGCCCTCACAGAAAATCAAACACAGATTCAGAAGGGCATCCCAACACAGTGGCTCTCCCTCTTAAGGGAGGACTTCTCGTGGAAATCCGGGGACTGGGGCATACTCATTTCCCAAACCCAGCCTCGCAGAGCTTACCGATCTGTTTCTCGAACCAATGCACCCAGCTACCTCGCCAAATTCTTCTCGTACCCGATCACTAATCACAACCTACAAGAGATGGAAGTTATGAACAAAGAGCCCCAGTGTGACATGCTAGAATCCTTCCGACTGAGGAAAGTGAGGGTCACAAAAGCCAAACCCTGGATAATCTTCCAACCTGATCTCTGCATCTCAGACCTCGAATTCGACCCGAAAGAGTGGATCTGGAAACAGGGGAAATCCGGGAGAACGAGAACAACAATATTCGAATACGATGTAAAATCCGGTTGTGACTTAGGATTACAAACTACAGACCTGGATCCCAGACTCAAAGAAAAAAATGGAGGGAGATCCTGGAGGGAGATCCTGAACCTAGAACCTACTGAACCCGTTTCCATCCCCTGGACGAACTACCTGTCCATCATCAGAGCGGTTAGGATCCGAAGCATGCAGTGGCTCGTAGCCCACGCATCCCTGCCCGTCAACCAATGGCTCCACAAGAGAAGGAAACATACGGATCCCGACAGCTCCGAATTATGTGTTATGTGCACAGACAACAGACCAGAAGACATGCCCCACTGCCTCTTGTACTGCACTGAAGCAGCCTGGATATCGAACAAAGCTCGCGACCTATCGTCCCTCCTCTTCTCATCGCCCCCTCCCCCCACATCTCCTCGAAACATATCCAACAGTACTAACAATCTCAAAGGCGGCAAGGAAATCTGGTTTCACCTTCTCGGGAAGCTGGCTCTGTGGGCGATCTGGAAAAGGAGGTGTACCAAGACTATTGAGAGGACTGAGGTGGTTAAGGGAAGAAATGTGGGCCCTACTGTTGAGTATGACGGAAACTGAGATTCGGTGCAGATGGAGGGAGGAGGTGACATCAACAACGGAAGTCAGACCAGAAAGGCTAGCCACCAAGAGACGTTCTTTCATGAGAGACTGGCTCCTACAGGGAAAGATTGCAACAGTGGCAGATAATAGATTGATCTGGAAAAAATGGCACAGCGAAACTCCAGCAAGGACGTCAACCCAGCGAGGGGCAAACTGAGACCATAGTCTCAACAATACAGGCAACCCTCCTCTTTTCTTGTTGCACACGAACTATATGACAGAGTCAAACTGGATTCTGAGCTAGGCTACCAGCCGGGCCGCTCGGGTCCCGGGTGGCCAGCCCATGCAAGGACCAGGGAAGGTCCCAGCAAAAAAAAAAAAAAAAAAAAGGAAAAAAATTCAAAAAACCGAAAAAAAAACTATGTTATGCAGAAAAATAAAGTGAATAACTTTTGCCTCAGGGTCACATCTAAATTCTTCACCAAATTTAGAATGAAAAAATAAAAATAAAATTTAAAAATATATATTTTTTAATTATTATTATTATTATTTTTTGGCCCGGCCGTGCATGTGACCCCAGGGGCCTGGACCCACTAGCGGAGTATTCTACCACTCCGTTCAGGATTTCGATCACGTGTGGCCTCGAGTGATGCAGTACGGCCGTTGAATACATTGGATCTCGACGGCCTGGTAGTTTCCGAGCGGGGACTGTAAAGATGCCCACCTCCCGTCCAATGAGATGCGTCGGAAAAAAAAAACCAACAAAGTTGGACACGATAACTCGTGGCTTTGCGTGGGCGGGAAGTCTGGATTTTATGGATTTAAAAAGGGGGGGTTGATTTCCAGACTTCGTTTTTTTTCTTTTTTTGGCTCTGAGAAATAGAACTTGAAATGTGAAATTCGAATATTGTGGTGGATCTGACAGGAACGCTTCCGCGTCTGTCGGATGGCCTGCTCGAGGCATCATGACATACATGGTGATGAATGTATCCCAATACCCGTTACTTGTTCATCCTCGTGACTGTGTTCGTGGACACATTTTACTGCCACGGTACATCACTATGAAGACCTACGTGAAGGAGATCGTACCTACCCATGAATTCGGGTGCACAGCTGTTCTTCATAGTTTTATGTGCTATTTCAATTCATTTTAAATCAGAAAACGATCCATTCATGGCATTTTCATGCAAATAAAAAATCACTTTGTATTTTCCAAACAACCATAAAATTCCGTCACACATCGTAGAATACTTCGCTAGTGGGTCCATGCCCCAGGCAAAAAAATCACTTTGTATTCTTGTTATGACCCTGGCCAATTTTGAGATACACATCCACTGGAAAGTACAATGCCATCCAATTGCAGAAAGACTTTCGAGAGGAGAGGGAGTAGTAGAAGAAGAAGAAGAAGAAGTAAGAAAGAAGAAGAAGAAGATGTACACCAGCAAAGACAATGACAAGGCTCTTCTTCTTCGCCCAACAATCTCCTCCTCCTTATCTCCCCCTTCTCTTATTCATACAAGAAATAATAATACAATGTTGAATGACTGGTCCAGAATCATGTCCGAGTCCCTCTTCTACTGCAGGTATCACTCAAGGTCCACAATAGCCATGGCCGCCTCTCCCACTCTTCACTCTCATAGGCCGAGGCTCTGGCGGACTACTAGGCCTTGCTCAGATGTCCAAAGGACAACCCGGAGCAGCTATGGCTGCTCCAGCTCAGGCCGCCATGCCCAGCCCTGCCTTGAAGCTTCTTGGCGTGACTCCCCCCGGCTGGGGACTCCTTGCTGCAGCGCCCACCAAGGTGATGAGGATGGCTGCCACCATAGCCAGGTAAGTACCCCTGGCGCTCCTCCCCCTTCCTTCCTCCTTCCTCCGTCTTCCTCCCTCATGTCCTTCTCCTTCCTCCCCAGCAGCGCTACTCCAGCTTAGCGCTGCTCCAGCCAGCGCTCCACCAGTGTGTCGCCAAACTTGCACACCGAAAAAGAGGCCGGGTCTTCCTCCGCCCGGCCGGAAGATATAGCGGCCTGCTTTGCCTCTTGGGCGGTGACTTCCAGGCCGCTGGCCTTCCCAAGCAACCGGTACCTCCTCCTCTTTTGGAGGGAACATCATTGCAGACTCTGATATTGCCCCTACAGGCCCTAGACTCAGACTGGTACCCGCTAGACCTGGCCTACACTACCGGCCTCCAAAAATGCCACTTTGTCTTCTTCTGCTCGGCCTCCGGTACCTGCATATTTACCGCCCTGCCGGGTGCGGTACCGGCCTACCCGCTACTTGAGTGCTTTTTCTCCGCTGCAACCCTTCAAAGCCACGGCCACAGGTAAGTACCGGCCCTGAGGGCCCAACGAACGAACAAGTGCCCTGGCGGGCCACACACACACACTCATACCAACCAGCACTCAGACAGGCACAGTCACACACACGCAAGCCAACCAGCACTCAGACAGACATGCAGTCCAGCAAGCACACACACACACAGACTTAGCAGGCGGGGAACTCAGTAGGGCATTCAGTCTATGAGCAAAACTCAGAAATCAGCTGTGTGTTTCAGTACGTGTTTGGACGGGTTATCACATTCTCCAAAAAACCACAAAAGTGCGTGTCAGGGTTCCTTCGGCCTGGGGCCTCTGAGAGGAAAAACGGTAGGGCAAGCTGACAGACAATCCTCCTACATAGGAGCAATCAATGCTGGTCAGGGTTCCTTCGGCCAGACGTAAGGAAGTGTGAGAGTGTTCACCATGTATTCCAATTCTCGACTTGCCGGCTGACAGGAACCGGACTGACGCTCCCCAGAATGTATATGGATTCAGGACCTTAAGGACCTGTTTTTATTATTAAAAAAAAAATAAAAAAAAATGCATTGTACTGTTTTGAGTTTTTTTGAAGTTATTTGAAGTGTTTTGCATGTGTTGCGAAGTGTTTTGAAAAGTGTGTGTGTGTGTGTGTGTGTGTGTGTGTGTGTGTGTGCGAAGTGTTTTGAAAAGTGTGTGTGTGTGTGTG